TGGTCGGTTCATATTTTCTCTTTCTTCCTGGTTCGGTCTTGGAAGGTTATACCTTTCTAGGAATTTGTTCATTTCTTCCAGGTTGTCCATTTTATTGGCATAGAGTCATTTATAGTAGTCTCTTAGAATGCTTTGTATTTCTGCGGTGTGTGTTGTAACTTCTCCTTTTTCATTTCTAATTTTGTTGATTTGAGTCCTCTCCCTCTTTTTCTTGATGAGTCTGGCTAATGGTTTATCAATTTTGTTTATCTTCTCAAAGAACCAGCTTTTAGTTTTATTGATCTTTGCTATTGTTTTCTTTGTTTCTCTTTCATTTATTTCTGCTCTGATCTTTATGATTTCTTTCCTTCTGCTAACTTTGGGTTTTGTTTGTTCTTCTTTCTCTAGTTCCTTTAGGTGTAAGGTTAGATTGTTCATTTGAGATTTTTCTTATTTCTTGATGTAGGCTTCTATAGCTATAAACTTCCCTCTTAGAACTGCTTTTGCTGCATCCCATAGGTTTTGGATCGTCGTGTTTTCATTGTCATTTGACTCTAGGTATTTTTTGATTTCTTGGTTATTTAGTAACGTATTGTTTAGCCTCCATGTGTTTGTGTTTTTTACGTTTTTTCCCATGTAATTCATTTCTAATCTCATAGCGTTGTGGTCAGAAAAGATGCTTGATATGATTTCAATTTTCTTAAATTTACTGAGGATTGATTTGTGACCCAACATGTGATCTATCCTGGAGAATGTTCCGTGCGCACTTGAGAAGAAAGTGCAATCTGCTGTTTTTGGATGGAGTGTCCTATAAATATCAATTAAATCTATCTGGTCTGTTGTGTCATTTAAAGCTTGTGTTTCCTTATTTATTTTCATTTTGGATGATCTGTCCATTGGTGTAAGTGACATGTTAAAGCCCCCCACTATTATTGTGTTACTGTCGATTTCCTCTTTTATAGCTGTTAGCAGTTGCTTTATGTATTGAGGTGCTCCTACGTTGGGTGCATATATATTTATAATTGTTATCTCTTCTTCTTGGATTGATCCCTTGATCATTATGTAGTGTCCTTCCTTGTCTATTGTAACATTCTTTATTTTAAAGTCTATTTTTTTCTGATATGAGTTATTGCTACTCCAGCTTTCTTTTGGTTTCCATTTTCATGGAATATCCTTTTCCATCCCCTCACTTTCAGTCTATATGTGTCCCTAGGTCTGAAGTGGGTCTCTTGTAGACAGCATATATATGGGTCTTGTTTTTGTATGCATTCAGCAAGCCTCTGTCTTTTGGTTGGAGCATTTAATCCATTCACATTTAAGGTAATTATCGATGTGTATGTTCCTTTGACCATTTTCTTGATGTTTTGGGTTTGTTTTTGTAGGTCCTTTTCTTCTCTTGTGTTTCCCACTTAGAGAAGTTCCTTTAGCATTTGTTGTAGAGGTGGTTTGGTGGTGCTGAATTCTCTTAGCTTTTGCTTGTCTGTAAAGCTTTTGATTTCTCCATCGAATCTGAGTGAGATCCTTGAGATCCTTGCCGGCTAGAGTAATCTTTGTTGTAGGTTCTTCCCTTTCATCACTTTAAGTATATCATGCCACTCCCTTCTGACTTGTAGAGTTTCTGCTGAGAAATCAGCTGTTAACCCTGTGGGAGTTCCCTTGTATGTTATTTGTCATTTTTCGCTTGCTGCTTTCAATAATTTTTCTTTGTCTTTAATTTTTGCCAGTTTGATTACTATGTGTCTTGGCATGTTCGTACTTGGGTTTATCCTGTATGGGAATCTCTGCGCTTCCTGGACTTGGGTGGCTATTTCCTTTCCCATGTTAGGGAAGATTGTTTGTTTCTTTTCTTTTTTTGCGGTACGAGGCCCTCTCACTGTTGTGACCTCTCCCACTGCGGAGCACGGGCTCCAGACGCGCAGGCTCAGTGGCCGTGGCTCACGGGCCCAGCCGCTCCGTGGCATGTGGGATCCTCCCGGACCAGGGCACGAACCCATGTCCCCTGCATCAGCAGGCGGACTCTCAACCACTGCGCCACCAGGGAAGCCCCTGTTTGTTCTTTAATTCTTCTAGGTCTTTGTTAAACATTTCTTGCATCTTCTTGATCTTTGCCTCCATTCTTTTTCCAAGGTCCTGGATCATCTTCACTATCATTATCCTGAATTCTTTTTCTGGAAGTTTGCCTATCTCCACTTCATTTAGTTGTTTTTCTGGGGTTTTATCTTGTTCCTTCATCTGGTACATAGACCTCTGCCTTTTCATCTTGTCTATCTTTCTGTGAAGGTGGTTTTTGTTCCACAGGCTGCTGGATTGTAGTTCTTCTTGCTTCTGCTGTCTTCCCTCTGGTGGATGAGGCTATCCAAGAGGCAAGTTTCCTGATGGGAGGCACTGGTGGTGGGTAGAGCTGGCTGTTGCTCTGGTGGGCAGAGCTCAGTAAAACTTTAATCCCTTTGACTGCTGATGGGTGGGGCTGGGTACCCTCCCTGTTGGTTGCTTGGCCTGAGGCAACCCAACACTGGAGCCTACCTGGGCTCTTTGGTGGGGCTAATGGTGGACTCTGGGAGGGCTCATACAGAGGAGTACTTCCTAGAACTTTTGCTGCCCGTGTTCTTGTCCCCACCGTGAGCCACAGTCAGCCCCTGCCTCTGCAGGAGACCCTCCAACACTAGCAGGTAGGTCTGGTTCAGCCTCCCCTGGGGTCACTGCTCCTTCCCCTGGGTCCCGATGCACACACTACTTTGTGTGTGCCCTCCAAGAGTGGAGTCTCTGTTTCCCCGGGTCCTGTCGAAGTCCTGCAATCAAATCCCACTAGCCTTCAAAGTCTGATTCTCTAGGAATTCCTCCTCCCGTTGCCAGACCCCCAGGTTGGGAAGCCTGACGTGGGGCTCAGAACCTTCACTCCAGTGGGTGCACTTCTGTGGTGTAAGTGTTCTCCAGTCTGTGAGTCACCCTCCCAGCAGTTATAGGATTTGACTTTACTGTGATTGCGCCCCTCCTACCATCTCATTGTGGCTTCTCCTTTGTCTTCGCACGTGGGGTATCTTTTTTGGTGAGTTCCAGTATCTTCCTGTCGATGATTGTCCAGCTGCTAGCTGTGATTCTGGTGTTCTCGCAAGCCTCCCTTCTTTTTTTATTTTTAACACTTCCTTACTTTTTGGCATAACAAGATGTTCCAGCCTCATCTTTTACCTTCCCTCCTCCTATCCGGGAATTAGCCATTTCTCCAAAAAGTCCTGCCTGATTCCTTTTAATGGGGAATGCTAGAAAATACCACAATTTATTTATCCTTCCTCCTGTTAATTGACGTTTGAATTGTTTTTAGTTCTGGACTATTATAAAGAAAGCTTCTCTGAATACCCTTGTACATTTTTTGGATCCATAAACTGTTTTCGGTTGGGTATATAACCAAGAGTGGCAATGGAAAGTCTCAGAACAGAACAACAAGGACTATTGTAGAGCACAGGGAATTATATTCAATGTCTTGTAGTGACCTATATTGGAAAATAATCTGAAAAAGAAAATTTATATATATATTTATATATATGTGGAAAGAATTTATATACAATGTGTATATATAGAAAGAATTTATATCTGTATATATATATATATATATATATAAACTGAATCACTTTGCTGCACACCTGAATCATTGTAAATCAACTGTATTACAATTTTTAAAATAACATACATATGTACATACATAAATAAATAAAAAGAAGGACACCGGATCTCCACTCTGGCTATATACCCAACAGAAATGAGTACATTAAGTCCACCAAAATAGTGAACACAGGTATTCAAAGCAACTTTGTTCATAATTCATGTATGTATATATATATACACACACACATACATATATATACACATACACACACATATATATGTATATTTAGCTTTAGTGGGTATTGCTAAGTAGTGTTTCACAGTGCTCATAACAGTTTTGTGAGGGGAGCCAAAGTTGTTGGCCCCGTTAGGTGGGGTAATCGGCGGCAGGGGTTCTAATGGGCCAGTGCAATCCAAAGACATGTTGTCTGTGACCAGAAATGGCAAAGCTGCTCATCTTTTCCATTGATAATGAGTGGGAAATGCTGAGATTTTGCCACCTGGTCCATTCTTAAACTGCTGTTTTAGCGACTGCTGCTTTAAGATGGGCAGAATGGAAGTTTCTGAAGTCAAGAATCTCCTGCTACCTTCAACATGGTTTTCATCTCAGTGATGGCAGTGACAGCATGTAGGGAATGCAGGATCATTGCTAGGGGCTCCTGCTGTTAGAGAGCATTCGGGTCACTGCTTTGTTTTAAAAAGTGTCTCCCCAGGAGAAGGAGGAATGCCCCCCGGAGTCCCACTCACATCTTCTGACTGCTAGGGGCCCATTTGGAACCCTGAAACAGTCATTTACTAAACACCCTGAGAGAGTAAATATCCCTCTGTCTACATCCAGGGAGCCACTTAGTTTTCAAGACATCTGGACTAGAGGCCCAGGGACAGCAGGCAGAGCAGGAAATTGCTGGAGGTAAACATGGAAGTGAACTGGTCCAGTATTATGGGACTAGACTCTAGGCTCAGTGTTGCTAGGAACTGCTTGGGCGTGGCCCGGCCTCTATAGCTTAAAGGTTCTTTGTCCAGAATATCTCTCCTGTGGAGCTTATAAGTTCATCATTAGAACCAGTGAGGTGATTGAGCACTTTTTAAAGTGAATTTCTGAACAGAAGAAACATCACTTATGAGATACATGATGGGCTCTTAAGTAATTTTGATGAACCTTTGGAGGAATTCATGACGATTATAAAAACATCTCGTGGATGCATTTTAACCAGGTGTCCCCTCTCAGTGGACACTGGCCCACTGTGGAATGGGGAGAGCCCTCCTGCACACTTTCTGAGCGAGCCTGTGTGCAGTGTGCAACTGTGCAACCGTATGCAGCGACCCTGGATAGATAACGGTTCAGATGACCCACAGTGACGGGACTCCCATGGCTGCACGTTTGTATTAACCTCTGTGAACCTTTCCTCTCTCTCCCCCAGGCCTCTCCGCGGATGGTGGTGCCAAGCGCCAGGAGCACCTCTCCCGGTTTTCCATGCCCGATCTCAGCAAAGACTCTGGGATGAACGTGTCTGAGAAGCTGAGCAACATGGGCACGCTGAACTCGTCCATGCAGTTCCGCAGCGCCGAGTCCGTTCGCAGCCTGCTCTCCGCCCAGCAGTACCAGGAGATGGAGGGAAACCTCCACCCTCTCAGCAACCCCATCAGGTACAGAGACCTGCAGGCCCACGGAAGGATGCATCAGAGCTTTGATTTCGATGGGGGGATGGCGGGCAGCAAGCTGCCGGGGCCGGAGGGTGTGAGGATCCAGCCCATGAGCGAGCGCACGCGGCGGAGAGCCACTTCCCGCGAAGACAACCGCCGCTTCCGACCTCACCGGTCCCGGCGATCCCGACGCTCTCGCTCAGACAACGCCCTCCACCTGGCCAGCGAGCGCGAGGCCATCTCTCAGTTAAAAGAAAGGCCCCCCCTGAGAGCCAGGGAGGATTATGATCAGTTCATGCGCCAGCGGAGCTTCCAGGAGAGCCTGGGCCAGGGGTCCCGGAGGGACCTGTACGGCCGGTGCCCCCGGACTGTATCGGACCTGGCTCTGCAGAACGCCTTTGGGGAGCGATGGGGACCCTACTTCACTGAGTACGATTGGTGTTCCACCTGCTCTTCGTCCTCGGAGTCTGACAACGAGGGCTATTTCCTAGGAGAACCCATCCCCCAGCCCGCCCACCTGCGATACGTCACGAGTGATGAGTTACTGCACAAATACAGCTCGTACGGCCTCCCCAAGTCTTCCACGCTAGGTGGCAGGGGACAGTTGCACAGCAGGAAAAGACAAAAGAGCAAAAACTGTATCATTTCTTAATCCGATGGGGGTCAGGGGATAGGGGAAGATGGGAGGTAAGAATGTAAATTCAGAAACTTGCACTGTTTTAAATTTTAAAGCTCTTTGCTTTGGTGGTTCCAGGGAGAGATGAGAAGAGCTCTCTGTTGATGGCGGCAAGGTCACCGACTGACTCAATAGGTAGTCACAGTTCTTGGCATGTTGAATATTATTTGCACATTTCACTTTGGAAACGCTATAGACTCTACGGAGGCCAGGATTGGTCACCTCCTTCCCGTCCGTCTGTGTTGAGCTGCCACTGGCAAGATGGCAAAATTGTTTCCCGCTCGCTTATATATTATAGCCTCTCTGGTTCTCTCCCTTTTAGGACCCTTTTTCCAGTACGTAATTTGTTTATTAGCCAGGACCCAACACTAAGTTATTTACATGTCCATTGTAAATGCGATGTAAATGAGAGTTCTGATAAAATATTTTTGTATTTTGTAATATCAAAGGAATTTCTATATCGTAGGACTCAGTGGAGCCTTGCATGCACGTCCAGCATTGTCTTTGAGTAGTACTTCAAGGTGGTCCAGGACCACTTTTTTTTTTTTTTTCTTTTTTCTATACAAATTTGTTACATGTCAGTGAGACCTTTTTCAAAGGAGTTTATTCAATTTGGCTTTTTGTGGCTGAAAAAAAAAACATTACCTATTACACCCAAAGCATTTGATGCTCCATCTATCTTGAGGAGCCATCCTTAAGTCTGCTCCCAGCCTCAGTAGAATCTCTTCTCTACAAAGTGATAGTAACTTTTTTTTAATTTATAATTGCCAGCATAACTTTTGCCAATTAGAAAAACCAACCAGTGTCAGTTAGGTTCCGTGAGAAACGCCATCCCTGCTGGGAACATTGAAGTTGCTTACCATTGATCTATCCCTTGGGGAAAATAAAGTGTCTGTGAGTGGTGCGGTTTGTGTGATGTCAGCATGACATTGTTTTGAATGTGGCATTATTTCCTGGTGCTCGTTTCCTGGATCGTATTATCCGCTTTCCTTTACCAAGGCAGACAGCTGCCTTAGCCTGACAACCGGTTGTCCTCAGCGCAAATGAACTTCAGCTTTGGGAATTTCGGGCCAGAAAGGTTCCGAGGGACTCTGGGAGTGATGGTGTGTTCTAGGTCGTAGGTCATACGTGGAGAAGGAACAGGTCAAGGGTAGAGACTGAAGGGGAATATGAAGGAAGGTCAGAGCAAAGAAGAACTTCTGGAAATGAAGTAGAGGAGACTTGACAACCACCTCGAATAGCCCCCAGTGCTTGTGGGGAAAAAAAAACCCAGTTTAATGTGCTCCGTAACCAGAGTATCTGGGTTACCCAGAAAGATTGAGCTGCTCAGGAGATTTCCGTGTTATGGTTTTGAAAAACAGATGTTGCTGAAAGGGGGGTTTCCATTTTGAACTTTGGGGACCGTCAGATAGAAGATGGGCTCAAAAGTGAGTTTGCTTAAAGAAGACATTTAACGGTTGTGTTGTTTATAGTAAAATAAAACCTCCTACCTTGCTTCAGTTAAAAGTGAAGCGCTTGCTTTTACTTCCATTCTCCTCGTCCCCTTCGTGGATTGTGGCAGTTGAAATAATCCATCGGAGGACCCACCTTTAGTGAGGTGTACTGTCGATGTAGTACACAGTGTATCTCAGTGGCCATCTGCCATGGTGAGGCGAGCGTGGTCTCTCTTCAGTATAGTAGTTCATATTTTCTAGTGCTTTTTTATGGGGAGAATGTGAAAAGTGGCTTTTTAGACACCATCCCTAATGGGTCTGGGGGAAGGAAGGCTGTAAAGGATGTGGAAGTGGCACTCCATTCAGGATGTATTAAAATAATTTGCTTTTCAGGTATTAATAAGACATTTGTCATTGTCACTGATGTTTTAAAAAAGCAATGCAAATGTTGGTTGTGGCTGTTTTCCGCATGCTTTCTTCATATCTAAATGCTTCATTAATTATCCAAGCCTCTGGAGAATTAACTCTATTACGTTTGTATAGTGAGTTTGTAAACTGCTTGGCAAACTGATTAAGAAATAATGTACACCACCACGCTACCAGCGTGGCAGGTTTCTGGTAGAAATGGGGCGAGTCCAATTTGGAGTTCTAAGTTGCTGGATTGATGAGAATAGAAAGGCATTTTGGAAAAAGAAGAGAGAGAAAAAAGTAGATCATTTAACTTAGTAAATAACTGAAAATAATGTCTGTCCTCTGTGGCCTGGAATCCAAGGAAAGAAATTCTCCCAGTGAACGTTGCTTTCTCTTTCCTTTTTAGAGTACCTCTTACATTTCCCAGATGAGGCTTTAACCACCGTCAGCAGAAAGAAGAAGGTGGCCTAGAAACTGACACCTAATTAGTGCCCAGAGGGAGAGAGGAATAAGCAATTTCAGATCTAGCTGCCCAGGGAGCATCCATCGGCTGAACTGGTCAGAGCTGGAGGTGTGTTGAGATGCAAGCCTCAGGGTCAGACGGTCTATAAGCAAGATCACCTCCATCTAGTCCATCACTGCCAGTGTCTCCTTCCCACCCCACGTGCAGCCAGGCACCTTATGGAGAATGCCGATGGAGGACAGGTAAATCCTCACAATGAGGACGGAACCTGCAAGTGTATGCCTTAGAGTGAGCAGGATATCATTGTATCGGGAGTTCCTCCCCTTAGTGATAACTTACACGTGACATCCCAGAATCCCATTCCCCAAAATTCAATGCATTCGTTTCCGAGGCAGGATCTGAGGGTCCTTGCCTGATCATCACCGGGAGCTCTTCTTGGTCAAGTGTCATCTGTGGGTGAGGCTCACACTCACCTCTTCTTAGATCATCATTTCATCTTTAATAGGCTGTTTTTAGAAAAGTAACACAGTTTATTTTCTTTGCTAATGCCTTGGGTTTTGTTTTGTTTTGTTTGCCTACCTCTTCTCATATTGATCTTCTTATCTTTTGGGTAAAACCCCACTTTAGCGTTCATTTCATTTCCTGTCGCTGCTCAATTCAGTGACAACAGAACTGGCCCTTTCCCAAGCAGAAGTCAGTGACAGTTTCCTGAATGGCCCTGCCAGTGCATATCACCCTTGATGTTATGAGCAAGTTTGTTAGCAGGCTGGTGGCATTCAGGTATACTTCCATCTGTCATAGAATTCTGGCATTTCTACCAAGTATGACGGTAAATGAGGTCAGGGAAACCAGAACCATACTTCCCGTTTTGCAGGTGTTCAAGGGGGGGAAATTTTTTAGTGTTGGTTGTTTGACCCCCTCTTTTCATATTCACCTTCTGTTCTCTAGTCCTTCCTTTCCACCCTCAGCCAGCCCCGTGAACAAGCAATTTTGCGTTTCTCATATGTGACCTGAGGACAGCTCTTTCTCATCCTCTTTTCCCATTCTGTAGGATGTTTCTTCAATACACCAAGATTATATTTCTCTCTCCTGCGGCAGCTCTCTGCTTCTTGGGTACCACCAGCCATTGCTGAGTTCAGGTGGGGCCAGTAATACCACATATGTAGCATGTGCTCTGCCATCCCTGCAACCTGGGCAGATATAACCAAGGTACTACTGTATACTTTCCCAGAGAGCATGGCTGCAGCCTCAGAAATCTTTTCAACACTCCAACCATCCGGGACTAGTTGATCAGAACTGATTTTATTTGTCTGATAACAAATCTTATTTGTGAACTGATTCTTATTTGTCTTTCTACCTTGGGCTCTTTTGCCATTGGCCCAAAACAGTACAGCAGCCATTTAGGAAGCATCATCCATAAATAATTGTGAGACTCCAGTTTCTATGCCCCCGTATTGGAGATGCTAAAGGAGGCTGACTTCTTTAGGCTAAATGAAGACAACTCTCTTTGGCCTCCTTTTCCATTCTTGTGTTCTTGGTCCTATCACAGAGGTCAGATAAGAGTTCGTCCTATTCTTTGTCTAATTCCACCTTCTAACAAGAAAGAACACAAAAATTTAAATTCCAAGGAGAAGTGCTCTTTGCTGTTTCTCTCTAACAGAAACCAGATGCTAATGCATAAGAAGGAGAATCTATGACAAAGGAACGTGAATGATGGCATCAGTCATCTGAGGATTTCATGCCAGAAGGCTGCTATTAGCACTGTTTAGCACCTTCAGGGCTTTGAAAAGGGCTCTGCGACAGCATTCCAGGTACAGGACACAGCCAAGCCTCCTCTGCATATTTGGAAGGCAGTTCCAGATGGCCGCCTTTTGAGGTGCGTTTCTTAAAGCGCAAGAGAAGTGGAAATGAAGAGAGTTTTGCCTAGCCTCCAGTGGCCGGTCCCTCTGGGGCCTCAGCAGAGACCAGAGCCCGTTCGTCTGACCCCTCGGAAGCAGTCATCAAGGTTAGGATCAAAAAAGGATTTCAGTCTTTTTCCATTTTCTCATAGTAGGATCCCCTTCACCCCAAGACTCCCATAAAATATAATGTACTGTTGGGAGCTATACTGTTTTATAAGCTTACTTCCTGCTGACAAAACTAGCTTTCCCCAACAGGAGTAAAAAGGCGGGGAGGGGGGATGTCACGTAGTGTTAGAAAACATTTCTGTGATTTAGATACGATGACTCTGTAGGAAAAAAAAAAAAAAGCCTTGTTCTAGCCTGAGAGTTTTCTGAGACATCCCTCACCCTACTGAGTATGGCCATTGGTGTGCCGTAGGTCGCTGACCAAGCTTTTCTAAATTTTTCAGAGAGAGTTACTCAAACCTCTCTAGTGAATGTCCATGTTTTTCCGTAAAGCATTTTGGTTCTATCGTGGACCCTGACTTCACATTCTAAGACCTATGGGTCCTCCTTATTCCATAGTAAATTAGGACTTTGGCAGTTTTCCCGCTCCTAAACACATTCTTTCCTGTACAGGATCACTTTGTCCATCTCCTGCTTTAATTCCAAGTACGTAAACAAAACCTCAAAGGGCCTGAGAAGGTAAGGCATGCCAGAGTCTGTGTTGTGTGTCGGGTGTCAAGCTATTTGTTAAGAAGGTCTGCAGTAGACCTTTGGTGTGGGCTCTGCCAGAGACTGTCGTGAACACTTTGCTTGAGATCCGTGCCCTGTAAAATGGATATGATGTTTTACTGATGTCTGTAATACATTTGTAAACTTCCAATAAAATTTGAATAAAAGAAATGTTGCCATTCTTCTCAGTCTTCCCTTGCTTTCCAGGTTTTTGGAAATCGTTGGCTTTGAGGATCTCAGCAAAAGAAGAGAGAGGCTGCACTTGGGGGGTGCAGATTTGCTACGAAAGGTGAACCTGGTAGCTTAAATCAGGATTTCTCAACCTGGCCACTATCCACATTTTGTTCCAGTCCATTCCTTGTGGCAGAGGACCGTCCTGGGCATTGTAGGATGTTTAACAATACTGCTGACCTCTTCCCATTGCCAATAGCACCCCTCCCCCTGAGATGTGACAACCAAAAATGTTGTCACATTAGGATAGCTACTATTAAAAAAAAAAAAAAAAAGGAAAATAACAAGTGGATGTGGAGAAATTGGAAAACTTGTGCACTATTGGTGGGAATGTAAAATGGTGCATCCTCTGTGGAAAACAGTACGGCAGTTCCTCACAAAATTAAAAATAGAACTACCATATGATCCAGCAATTCTACTTCTGGGTATATACCCAAAAGAATTGAAAGCCAGGCCTCAAAGAGAGATTTGTACAGCCGTATTGATAGCATTATTCACAGTAGCTAAAAGGCAGAAGCAAGCGAAGTATCCGTTGATGGATGAGTGGATAAGCAGAATGTCATCCAGACACACAATGAGCTATTATTCATCCTTTAGAAGGAAGGAAATTATGACACACGCTGCAACGTGAATGACACTTGAGGACATTGCTAAGTGAAATAAGTCAGTCACAAAAAGACAAATGTTGTATAATTCTACTTATATGAGCTACCTAGAGTAGTCAAATTCGCAGACACAAAGTGGGAGGGTGGTGCCTGAGGCTGGGGAGAGAGCGGGTGGGATGTTGTTTAATATAGAGTTTGTGTTTCAAGATGAGAATTCTGGAGATTTGTTGCACAACAATGTAGATGTACTTACTACTGAACTGTACACTTAAAAATGCAAATTTTACGTTACCTTTATTTTACCAGAATTTCTTAAAATGCCTCCTTAGCTGAGTGTCCCCTGAGGACAAAATCACCGCTGGTTGAGAACCACCAGTTAAAATGCTTTGCCTTCTTAGCATCTCGGTTCCTTGAGGGTTCTCGAAGCTGACTCTGACCCCGGGCCATACGGTTAATTTTCACTTATTAGCAAGAATTGAAACCGGCAGATGACCGAAAATATTTGTATTTGCTTTTAAGCAGATAATAAGTGGGTTGTGTGGCACGTTATATGCATGGCTGTGTTCTGGTTAGGATGGTATTAGTATTGTCTGGGAGCCAAGGCCAAAGCAGCATGTAAATTAGATTTCCCCGTGTCTGATCCACAATATTTGGGACCTGCTGGATACTGCAGTATCATTTATTCATTCATTCAACAAATGGTTATTGAGAGCCTGCTCTGTGCCAGGCACTGTTCTAGGTGCTTGGG